AGACTTTTCCCTCCGACGATCGGGGCCACGCCCCCAACGTGATTGGTGTGGTTGCGTCACCTCCGGTGATGCAGCCACACTGCGCTTCGGGGTGCGGAGTTCCCCCCGGGGCCCGATTCCGCGGCGGTGGGAATCGGGCCTCCGAAGCGGGGGTTTACCCGCCCCCACTTGGCAGCCCTAAAAGGCAGGCAATAGTAAGGCGCCTCTCTGAAACGGCCATGCCTCATTAGGGATCTCCAGAAGTCATGACTTCCAGGCATACACACATATGCGCATGCACACACACACAAAGTAACGAACAAACAACAAAGCAGCCATTTTCTCCAGGAGAAGTGGAATAAATGTTTTAAATAAACAAATAAGTGATTTATATACTCTGGAGATTCCAGGAGATCCCCAGACCCCACCTGGAGGTGGGCAACGGATTCTCTGTCTCGTCCACCCCGTGAGGTACAGCCACGGGAGCCCCGTTTCCCGTCTCTTGATTGGGGCACCGGAGAGAATCGGCGCCAAAGCTGAGATATGGCTAAAAGCCGAGCCAGGCCCCTTCATGGTTTCCTGTCTGGAACAAAGCCAGCCCGAAGAAAGGGGGCGGGGGTCCACCCCATCTTTGCCTCCCCTATCCACCCGGGCCTTGTGTAGCATTTACATTTTTCTTCTGCCTCCCTCTCTCCCTCCTGCCCGTAGAAAGGGACACTGTGTAACACTTAATGTCTGTTTAATTGACCCCTCACCCAGCACCGCCAGTCAGGGCCGGCCTCTCGCTTTTGTTCCCACAGCGGTTCCCAGCCCCTCAACCCCAGGCCTCACAAAAGCAAAGCCGTTCCTTCCCCAGAGGGAGAAAGAGCCACCAGCAGGGTGGTCTTCCTCATGCTCGCTGAGGGAGAAGGGAGTAGGCCCGTTTGAGACATGGACCCAAGCCCGCCATCTTTTAAAAATTGTGTCGGATTGACAGCAGCTTCGTTCTGCTGCTTGTGGAGAGGGGGAAAGAGCTGTGTGGGGCCCTGAAGCTTCCTAACCATGAGAAATACCACACATCCAGGGTTGCCAACTCTGGGATGGGAAATTCCTGGAGATTTGGTGGTAGAACCTGAGGAGGGCAGGGCCTGCCATAGAGTTCAGCCTCCCAAACAGCCATTTTGTTCAGGGAAACTGATCTCTGTAGTCTGGAGATCGGCTGTATTTCCAGGAGAGAGACGAGGATGATCAGGGGCCTGGAGACCCAGCCCTGTGAGGAAAGGCTGAAGGTCTTCAGAATGTTCAGTCTGGAGAAGAGGGGACTGAGGGGGGGACAGGATGGCTCTCGTGAAGTGTTTGAAGGGCTGCCACTCAGAGGAGGGCAGGGAGCTGTTCCTGTAGGCCGCAGAGGAGAGGACTCGCAAGAATGGGTTTAAATTAAGGGCGGAAAGGTACCGGCTGGATCTTAGGAAAAACCTTTTTACAGTCAGAGTTGTGCCACAGTGGAATCAGCTCCCTAGGGAGGTGGTGAGCTCCCACTGGTGGACTTTAAGCAGCAGCTGGACACTCGTCAGGGATGCGGTCTAGGCTGATCCTGCATTGAGCGGGGGGTGGGACTAGATGGCCTGTAGGGCCCCTTCCAACTCTGTGATTCTATGAGATCTCCAGACTCCACCTGGAGGTTGGCTACCCTGTACTCATCCCACCTAGCCCCCGCAGCTTCTGAGGTTGCATGGGGCAGTGCTTATCCACAGTCCTAAAAGCTAGAACCTAGGAGCTGCGGTGGCTCAAGTGGTTAAGACGCTGAACTGCAGGCTGTGGAAGGGCGGTAGTTCAGCAGATCGAGACCCGAGTTGCCGCATGACGGAGTGAGCTCCCGTCTCTAGTTCCAGCTCCTGCCAACCTAGCAGTTCGAAAGCAAGAAATTGCAAGTAGATAAATAGGTACCACTTCGGTGGGAAGGAAACAGCGTTCCGTGCGCCTTGGTGTTTAGTCATGCCGGCCACATGACCACGGAAACGTCTTCGGACAGCGCTGGCTCTTCGGCTTTGAAACGGAGATGAGCATCGCAACCCTAGAGTCGGATTCGGCTGGCTTTCGAGCAAGGGAACCTTTATCTTTACTAAAAGCTAGAAACTTGACATCTCTTGTTTTCTTTCGTTTGTCTTAATTGAAAATGGATTCTCTCTCCGGAATGCCAGCCTCCCTCTCCTCTGCCCTCTACCACTCAGTGGGGTAGCAGGGGGGAAATGGCCAGTTTTAGCAAATAACCCAAAGTGACGTCACTTCACCCCTTGACCGAAGAACGGTACACTCCTTCTATCTGGGATGGTCGTCCTCTTCCACCGAGCGCGCAGCTTCGGGAGGGACGCACGTGGAGCGGTGAGGGAGGTAGGGGACACCCGCCTAGCCAGCCAGATCAGCCGAATCAACCCTGGCGATCAATGGGGTGACAGATGTCGCAGCCAGATCGCCCTCACATCCGACGTCACTTCACCAAAGTAGAGCGCCAGGATTTGCCCCTAACTCTCTGGACTCGATAGTTTTGGCAAATCCTAGATCATCATACTGGCACAGCGATGTTACTTCTGGGCATTTCTCCGTCCTCTCCCTCTCTTACTGGTTGCCGGCCTATTATGTATATATCTAATTCCCAAGTTGTCCCCTGCGTGCGGATATCTAAATCCGCACACCGGGGGCACCTGGGGGGCAGGGAGATTTTCCTGCACACCTGGGACAGTCCCCAGGTGTGCAGAAAAATCTGAAAACTTGGGGAAAATATAGGGGGGATATTTAAATCCAAAAAAAAGTAAGCGCGTTCCCTGCGCATGCGCAGAGAATGCTCTGGGAACTCTGCGGCGGGCCGGCAGTTGGAAGTCGCTCAGTTCTCGCCGCAGGAGTGGGGGGGGGAAGGAGATTGGCGGTGGCGGATACCACCAGAATGGGGGGAGAAGATCAGCGGCAGCGGAGGAGACCGCCGGAGCCGGGGGGGAGGAGGAGGAGATCAGCGGCGGTGGTGGAGGAGGAGACCGCCTAGGGTTGCCAAGTCGTTGCAGTCGCGTCGCGCGCACATCACCCGGAAGTGACGTTAGGACGCCGGGCACGCTGGGGGCGGGGCCACGACCCTCGGAGGGAAAACTATAGTTTTTCCTCCGAAGGTCATGGCCCCGCCCCCAGCGT